TCATAAACTCCACGAAAGAAAAGCTTTGTGGAATCTCTCAAAAGTGATTTTGTAGAGAAATAGTGGATCCTTTTGATGAAACCAAACGTATGTTTAAAGAAGGCTTTATGTGTGCAAAAAGTCCCTTTAAAGTTGGGCGCCGACTCATTCTCCCCAACCCAATACTAACCGAGCCCAACGTTTGCTGATTAGGTTGTCCCATGATTTGTTTTAAACTGTAATTCTTTCAATTAAATTCAAACTTTCTCTTTTCATTTCCATCTCTTATATAGAGTTCATCTCCATCAGCTAGCGATCCACGAGAAGCGAAATTGATGGTGGAATTGCGAGCGACGAGTTTCCAGCTACATACAAAACCGACTCCAAGGTTCTCACCGCAAAGCTAAAATTGGCTGGTTTGAGATTCTTTTTATCGGAAATATTACCCTTTTTTCAATCAACTAATCATTAACCTATTGTCATTTTACCTTTGGGTAATCGAACTCCAGTGAGTAGAGAATTGGACCTGGCTCTGAGGATCTCCAATTCTTCGTCACAGCCACTTCACACTTGAGAGTTCAAGGAAACGATACCGAGTTCAAGAAATGGCTGATCAAAGTGGACAATGGAAAAGTGGAAGCCGATCAATAAGGAGATATCGCGATTCCCATTCCTGTGATGGTGATTTGGGCGAGGAGATCTTTCGCCAAGCTTTTGCCGATGATGGTCATTTGGATCTTTCTTAGGTCGCTATCCTCACACCGCAAAACGTCGATGATTTGAAGATTAACGATTACATTTTGGACCGGAATCCCGGCAAAAAGGAAACAAAAAGGAGCTGTTTCACTGTATAGATTTTGTTTGTAACTTTGTAACTATATTTTCCTTTTATAAATCAACTAATCATTAACCCATTGTCATCTTACTTTTGGGTAATCGAACTCCAGTGAGTAGAGAATTGGACGTGGCTCTGAGGGTCTCCAATTCTGCATATCAGCCACTTTTTCCCACGGACACTTGCAAACTGAAAACGGATTTACTTTGGGAAACCATCGTAACCCATCGTACTCTACCAGCCACTACTGTAATCTTGTCTTTTTTCTGTCCAATCTATCTACTTCTATTTTGTTTTTGTACTTTTTGTACTACTTTTATTTTGAAGGATATCGAAAGATACAAAAAGTGAATCGATTCGATAACAATAAGAAACAAGATTAGGGTTGTTTTCAAGGGTTGGCACCTTTTCGAAACCGTATTATTTGAGAGGAACACATTAATCGATTGCGGTAGAAACACTCACCATCCCTCAATTTTACTGAAGTGAACGAGGCGATGAACTCGGGAGCTGTTGCTTTGTAGCTGAAATGTTAAAAATTTTGTAAATTATTATGTGATTCATTATCCTAAAAGTAGATTTTAAAGTTCTACGTAAAAAAGGCAAAAACCTGAAGCGAACATAATCTGCCGGCACGATGAACTCAAGCTTTTTCTCGGCATTTCCAATGATTCTTAAAAAAAACTCGTGAGCACTATATGAAAGCAACAATTGTAAAAATTAAACAGCTATTGTTAGAGAATTTTTGCATGCCGATAACGTTTTTTGTTTCGAGAATTAAAACTTTAAAAAGCGAACTCAAGAAACGGTTCCTCTACGTAAATATCGGAGAACATGAGATCGTCATAAATTTTCCCGGGAATCATCTTTTCGAACTTTAGTTTCACCTTGACATAATTCCGAAGATCGGACTCATTCAAATCTGTCTAAATCGATCATTAAATGGGTTAGATCATCTTTTATTCATTTTTACTTGAAATTACGATGAAACACAGCAATTCTTTGATCAGGGGTGACCTGACCAGTCTAGGACTATTAGGGTGTCAATAATGAGGACTTTATAGTTCTTTAATTTTACGAAGTATACGGAAACTCCACAAAAAGGATATCGTAAATGCTAGCCAGTCAAAAAATCTAGCCAGCTCCAATTAGTCAGCTTTTAAAAAGCGATAAAACAAGTAATTGTTCTTTTCCAGATACCCTGCCAACTCAAAGAAGCCGATCTGTTATGATTTTTACGGAAAAGAAGTGAATTCACAATCTGCCAAAAAATCTCTGAACTCTAGCTCCACCTTGACATAATTCCGACGATTGGACTCATTCAAATCTGTCTAAATCGATCATTAAATGGATTAGATCATCTTTTATTCATTTTTACTTGAAATTACTATTAAACACAACAATTCTTTGATCAGGTAAGCCATCAGGGTCTGCCTGATCTGTCCAGGACTATTAGGTTGACAATGAGGACTTCATAATTCTTTAATTTTATAAAGTATACGGAAAGTCATCGTAAATGATGTATTAAAGCGACCGGTTACTCTATTTTTCAAGATCCTCTTGGGGGGTCACTCTAATAAAGCATTTACAGTAGGTTGTTATACATTTTAAAATCCTTGAATCAAGCTCTAAAATATTGACCACACATAATCTTGTTTGCTTTTAGCTTTAGAGTTTCCAAGTGGTTTGAAGAGGTAACGAGGATGGCACAGGAGTCAGCTAAAAGGATTACTCTTTGAGCAATAGCGATTCTGGGAGTTGTTGGAAGGAAAGAAGAATAGTAGTCAGATGTTACGCGCAAAAAAATATAGCAACTATCTTTAGCATTAGAAAATTTTTTTAGAAAAAAATAGATTTTTTTCAAAAAATGAGTTTCAAATTACTGTCAAGCTGCCTTTCTTTTTCATGTCTGGCGTTCGAATAGCTTAGTTAGCAGTAAACAAAGCAGAAGTTGGCAGCAGACAAAATTGTGTGTGGCCAATATTTTAGAGCTTCATTCAAGCATTTCAAAAATGTAGAAAAACCTATCCTGACTCTCCGTATACTTTGTAAACTAAAGGAACGATGAAGTCCGGTTTCATTATCGCTAACCTAATAATTCAAAGGTAAGATTCAGGTCAAGATCAGAAGCTAAATCTTACGCTTAAATGCAGAAATTATTAGGTTGATGCTTAAGTCTTTTCGTTCCTTTTCGTCTGCGGTTTCAAGCCAACAAATGCACCAATTAAACTACGGTTGATTTCATTAGAAAAAGCAATTATTTTTCTGCAAAATAACATTAAAACGGGTTTAAAAATATTTTATGCCTGGATTTTCTTGAGAGTATGAAGTCGGGTAGTCAAAAAGGGCTAACTCGATGATGCGGTTTAGACACCTTAGCTAAAGAAAACCTATCTTCGTGTCAATAGACAAAAGATAGAGAAAAAAAAGTTTGATATTTCGCCAAAATTTCAGAGAAATTCATTCAGCCAATTTTTCCGTAGAGTTTTTTATAGATTTTTACGAAAAAGGCGTTTTTCACTCTCGAATTTGCTTGAAAGTGAACCGAAATTCATTTAAAAAGATGCAAATTGAACAAAAAAACACTTTTTTTATAGAGCAAACTATAGATTAATTCGTGAATTTGTTACTTTTTAACAGAAGTACGAAAAAAACGAAAAGACTTATGCATCAACCTAATAAATGTAAAAACTTGTGAGTAACGCAAAATTTGATGAACTTGTGTTTAGAAGTAATTAAACTATCTGAAATCGAAAGTCTTACATTTGCTCCATAGATCAGATGCGTGACTTCTCCTCCCTTTTCTCTCAAAAGCGTCTCATTTCTTGTGATCACCAAAGGATCGTCCGCCGCTTTCCGACTATGAAATACCCAATTGAAAGCATCTAAAGTTTTACTGGGTTTTATAGATTTTCAGAAAATTAGTTAAACAAAAACCTCACGTAATTCTGAAGAAAGCGATGGAAAAAGTTCAAAGCTAATCAAAAATAATAAAAATTTTAACGAAATCATCAATATCCAAAATGATTTCCCTTAAAAAGCGATCCTGAACAAATGAATCACGTTCATTTGTTTAGAAAAAGCAATTCTTTTTTTCTTTTTCTTTATCAACAAAAGTTTCCATAATAAACGGAAATAAATTGGAGTGTTGGAGTGAATTTGGTTGAAAATGCATTAAATACTTGGTGAAAATGCTCTGAAAACGGTGCACATGGTGTGCTTTGTGCTCTGAAAACGTAAACGAACATTTCCTAGTGCATTCAATATTAGATTTTACACCAATTCAGTACTTTACTCTTTCAAAAGCTTTTGACTACCCAGAATACACTCAATTTTGGTTTAAACTTTCGATACTTCTAGTTATACCAGTTAAACGCTCACTAACGTTCGCTTTTTTCATTTTACAAGTTTACAAATATTCTTTGTGTGAATCTACTATATATAAAGCAGAAGAGACGTCCGTCCGTCCGTTTGTCCGTTTATCCGTCCATTTGTTCGTCCGTTTGTTCGTCCGTTTGTCCGTTTGTCCATCCGTTTGTCCGTCCGTTTGTCCGTTTATCCGTCCATTTGTCCGTCCATTTGTTCGTAATAAAATTCGTAATCAAACTAAAGAGAGCATCCTCTACTCCTTATTATTTAGGCCAATTATTTTTCTGCAAAATAAGCTTAAAACGGGTTTAAAATCTCTCAAGTCTGATTTTTTTAGGCTTTAAATACGACGGCGAAAAAGAACCTTACCAGGTTTGACAGTTTGAGCAAGACGAGCACGATTTTCAGCAAGCCTGATATCAGATTAAGTGTATGAAAATGGATAAGATAAAGCTTACCAAATGAAGTAGGCCGAGCGGTTTCGCTTGGGGCGGCCGCCATCCTTTTGCACGACTTTGGGCACTTCTTGGGAGCCGTTTTCTTTTGCTGGTCGAGCAATTTGATTTCTGAACTCACAAACTTAACCCTTAGTAGCGTGACAGTGTGCACAAACCGCTCGTTTGAGAATCTTGCTGCTTTAAATACGACGGCGAAAAAATAGGTGTTGACAAAACCCAAACATTTCAGCTCCAACTAGGTAGTCAAAATAGTTTTACTGAACGGTGAATTTAATGAATTTAATTGTGAAATGGTAAATGACAAAATAATTCTAGATAACCGACGAAAAAGCAAAGACAGGACTAAGAACAATCGATCATTGGGATGACGAGGCCTTGTAAGCTTCCATTTCCTTAGTGTAGCGCTCCTCGTAAGCTTCCATTTCCTTAGTGTAGCGCTCCTTGTCAGCTGCGGCTTGCTTTTCCCACTTTGAACGGTCCTTAAGGTTCGTCCATTCAGCGCCCGCAGCCTAAACAAAAGCATTTTGCCATAATAATGTAAAGCTCTAAACTCTACTTTTGCGAAGATTGAGCCAATATCAGAGTAACAATTCCAAGCCATAAAAAGTACCGTTTTTTTTTTGTTTAAATGTCTTTTTGCCGCCATACCAAAAGTTCTAAGCGCCATGGTTTCATTTTAAATTTGCTGATACATACAAAATCAGAATTCCAAAAGACGACATACCTTGGTGACATCATAGGCCCTCATTCCAGGTTTAAAAACAAAGCGACTACGGTTCTCCGCGAGCCAAAACAAGTAGGCAGAACGGCCACGCTCGGGTGCGTTCTCGTCCTTCTTCTTTTCCGTTGCCTTGGTGGTCTGCACTGGCGATTGTTTCTTGGAAGGAGCCATCTGAACAAAAAATGTTAAGAATGTTTCAAAAGAACAAATTCGAATTTGAAAAAGAAAAATAGTAAAAAGGGCAACAAGACATGTTACTCAGACAAAGCATGAAACTATCGGGACTATAAGCTAGGTAACTTATGTTGCAGACAGTTGACATAATTCTTAGCAGTTGACTCAAGTTAAGCAGACTTAAGCAGTTTGGGTTTATATGCCTGCAACAAGATGTGCCCGAGGCGCACTGAACAACGCACTATATGCGAAAGGAACGTAAAATAAGTCGCAGCGCAAAAATCGACCCAAACAACGCCGAATGGAGCGAAAATGAAAATCGAAGAAAAAATTTGCCGCAAAAAGCAAGCCTTTAAAAAAGATATTCAATTGAAAAATTTTTTAAATTTAAAATTTGGTAAACGATGAGTTAGCTAAATATCTTTAATCGATCGACATTAAACAAAGTCTGGCTACAATAGGGACCATATGTAGGACTACTGTAGCCAGACTACAGTACTCCGACAGTATTCTAGACTCGATCGTAGCCGTAGTTTTCACCTTTTTCCGCACAGACCGACAACAAAAAGTGCTCAAGTGTGGCTGCTTTTAAAGCGATGGAAAAAAGCAAAGCTAATATGTAAATAGAGATATTCAGCTAATAATTAGCTGATAATTAGCTAATATTTAGCTGATATTCAGCTAGATTTATCGATTCGTAAGCCCAAAACATACCCTCGAGTCTGTCGACCTCCTTCTGGAGCTTCTGGACAGAGCGCTCGGCGAACTCGGCGCGAGACTCAGCCTGGAACAATTCTTTCATCAATTTCATTCAAATACTTTTTTCTAACACAGTACGAGACACGACGAAGTGACGACAATTTTACAATTTCATTCAGTTCCATTCAGTTCCATTCAGTGTTGAGTTGAAGCTATGGATACTAGAGCTGTAGACCTATAGCCGTCAGTACTCAGCCTATGTCCTGTACTTATAGCTGAGTGCTGTAGGGTACAGGTTTGCTATAATGAAGCGCTGTCGCCCAAACCATAACCTATAGCCGGCAGTACTCAGGAAGATCTATGCACATAGCGGAGTACTGTAGCTGAAGCTATGACCTATCGCCTACAGTACTCAAGAGTAGTCATGAACATCGTAATGTCCTGTGGCTGAAGCTATAATCTGTAGCCTACAGTACTCAGCCATAGCTAGGTGCATAGTAGAGTACTGTGGCTAGAGCTATGTCCTATAATCTAGAGTACTCAGGAAGGACTATGCACATAGTGAAGTACTGCAGCTAAAGCTGTGACCTATAGCCTAAAGTACTCAGCTACAAGTACAGTAATCATCCATAGCTATGTGCACGGTGAAGCTTTGTACAGAGTTTACCTAGTACAGAGTTTACGTAGTACGATGTACAGGCTACTGTACTATGTACGTAGTACCACGTACGCGCTACCGTACTATGTACGTAGTACCATGTACGCGCTACTGTACTATGTACTAGTAATGTCACGCTACTCTGCCCTTTCCACTGCTTCAAAACAACACGATTTACGGACGAATTTCATTTCATACGTCACCCATCCACTCAACAGATGTTAAAACAAAATCTCGATCGTTATTGAATCGAAAATCAGCTGCAGATGGACTGTAAACTGAGTTCAAAGCTTGATAAAACACAGAAATCATGAATTCGACTTGCTAGAAATAGCTACAAATAGCTTTCATTCATAAAATTTGCCATAAAAATTTAGATAAAATCGAGTAGAACCTCCTTGAGACGAGAGCTGAGTGCACGGATTTGCTCCTCGTAAGAATCCTCTCGTTGAAGGGCTTTCTCCTCGGAAACTTCCAGGGATTTCAGATTGTTTCCGACCACTCGCAACTCCTCTTCCAGCTCGACGATCTTGCTGAAAAATGGACAACATTGAGCATGCTAGTTTTTGATTTTTCGACAAATACCTGACAATATTTTTGACAATTTCACATGCTTATTGTTAGCTAGTTTTTGAGGAAAACTTGAAAAGAAATGGATTAGAAAACGATCTATGAACTATGAACTATGTATCTATAAACTTGTACTCTTGGACTTCAAAAGATAGCCAGCAAGAAGCAGAGCAAGATTGACGACAAGATCGCCTTATATAGGCTTATCGGTAGGGAAATGGCCTTAGATACAGGTATTACTTGACGACAAGATCGCCTTATATTCCCAGACTGCTTGACGGCATGATGACCTTATATACGCCTATGGATAAGAGGGGAAATGGCCTTATATTGGCACATTACTTGATGGCAAGATGACCTTATATACGCTGGTAAGATGGCCTTATATACGCTGGTAAGATGCCCTATATTATGGCTAAGCGGGGAAATGACCTTATATACCAAACAGCCGAGAACTTTTTAAACTAACTGAAACAAATTTGTTGCTGAGAACTTGAGTCTACTAGTGCCGCAATGCCCAGTCATAGCACGACAAGGCCTTTTCGGATTACTGTACTATTGATAACGTTTTATAGCTCAACCACAGCCACTTCTGTGTACAACAGTAAAACCAAAACCAGTACAAGGGTACAAACACAACAGCTTCCCTTCACTGTACTGTACTGTAATGTAATGTACTGTACAATGCCACTGTACTGAGCGAGCTTCACTGGACTCCAATGAACTCCACTGGACTCCACTGGACTCCACTGGACTCCACTGGGCTTCAAAGGACTCCAATGTACTCCAATGAACTCCAATGAACTCCACTGGACTCCACTGGACTCTAATGAACTTCAATATGCTTCACTGGACTCCACTGTACTCCACTAGACTCCACTGGACTCCACTGGACTCCACTGGGCTTCAAAGGACTCCAATGTACTCCAATGAGCTCCAATGTACTCCACTGGACTCCACTGGGATTCAAAGGACTCCACTGGGCTTCAAAGGACTCCAATGTACTCCACTGTACTCCAATGGACTCCACTGGGCTTCACTGTACTCCATTGTACTCCACTGGACTCTAATGAACTTCAATATGCTTCACTGGACTCCACTGTACTCCACTAGACTCCATTGTACTCGAATGTGTTTCACTAGACTCCACTGTACTCCACTGTACTATGACGATCGTTCATTCACCCGAACCTCTTTCAATCTTTTCGAGACGAAATCACAATGTCTATTCATTGCTTCCTCAATTTCCTGGGATTTCTCGTCATTTCCTTCACGGGTTTTCAACGTGGTGCACAGGCGCTCGAATGTCTTTTTCCAGATCTTCCGAGCGTCTGCGATAAGATTTTTCATTAATTTTAATCTATCATCTATCATCATCTTTTCCTTTCATCAGTTTTACTTTCATTACTTTCATTAGTTTTACATCTATCATCATCGTTTCCTTAGTACACATAGAGTTATTCAACTAAAAACCAAAAAATCGACAAAGATTAGTGCTGACAAACGAGTTAGATTGATGAATTCGACATTGAGAAGAACGAGCAGAACAAGAAGATTCGACAACCAGGACAAATATTTGATAATGGATTATCTAGATTAGAGGTATCTGATCTAGATCTATCTATAGCTGATCTGATCTAGCTCCATCTATAGCTAGGCCTAACTAGATCCATCTACAGCTGATCTAATCTGGATCCATCTACAGCTGATCTAATCTAGATCCATCTATAGCCAGATCTGATCTAGATCCATCTATAGTTAGCTCTAATCTAGATCTCTCCATTTCCCGTCAATGACCTCCTTGAGTTTCTCCTCGATTTGGACGATATTCTCTTGGAAGATCTGCTCTTTCTCCAAAGCTCTTTCTTCGTTCATCTCCAACGATTTCAAGTTGTTGCCCACCACTCGCAACTCCTCCTCCAACTCGATGATCTTGCTGCAGTCAGGTTTTGCATGTTTTCAATGTCTTGGTCTAGGTTCTACCCTATCCTTTAGGGTTACTCTAGCAAGGCTTGGTGTAACTAGGAAGGCCAACTTCATAGAGTGCCCAAGTCCCTCTAGCTTCTATAGATACAAAACCTACGGTATCTGTATACGGTTGACTTTTCTATATCCGCCAAATCTACCGGAATAACTCTGGATTCTGTAGTTAGGCTCTAAGCCCAGTATAGAGAAGCCGGATCCTGTAGCTGGGCTCTAGACACAGTATAGAGCTGCTGGATCCTGTAACTAGGCTCTAGGCTCAGGATAGAGGAGCCGGATCCTGTAACTAGGCTCTAGGCTCAGTACATAGCTGCTGGCTCCTGTAGCTGGGCTCTAGACACAGTATAGAGCTACTGGATCCTGTAGCTGGATCCTGTAGCTATTGGATCCTGTAACGATTGTTCCGAGAACAAAACGATTGTTCCGAGAACAAAACGATTGTTCCGAGAACAAAACGATTGTTCCGAGAACAAAACGATTGTTCCGAGAACAAAACGATTGTTCCGAGAACAAAACGATTGTTCCGAGAACAAAACGATTGTTCCGAGCAGAAACGATTGTTCTGAGCAGAAACGATTGTTCGGAGCAGAAACGATTGTTCTGAGCAGAAACGATTGTTCCGAGCAGAAACGATTGTTCCGAGAACAAAACGATTGTTCCGAGCAGAAACGATTGTTCCGAGCAGAAACGATTGTTCCGAGCAGAAACGATTGTTCCGAGAACAAAACGATTGTTCCGAGCAGAAACGATTGTTCCGAGCAGAAACGATTGTTCCGAGCAGAAACGATTGTTCCGAGCAGAAACGATTGTTCTGAGCAGAAACGATTGTTCCGAGCAGAAACGATTGTTCCGAGAACAAAACGATTGTTCTGAGCAGAAACGATTGTTCCGAGCAGAAACGATTGTTCCGAGCAGAAACGATTGTTCCGAGCAGAAACGATTGTTCCGAGCAGAAATGATTGTTCCGAGCTCTAATCAAGAGAAAAAACGGGTAAAGAAAGGTTACTATAAAATATCATTTGATAAAAAAGTAAAAAGATCCTGCTGCGAGTGGGGTTCGAACCCACGCGGACTCGCGTCCATTGGAACTTAAGTCCAACGCCTTAGACCACTCGGCCATCACAGCATGGAGTTAAAGCGTTTTAAAGGCGATCATATAACTGGGCATAACAAAGCTTGCCATATTTGAACACTGTTCGATAGAGAAAAGACGCTGTTCGATTTGGTTTTGAAAGAAAATTTGTGATAACTTTTGTGAAATTGATGCAAATAAAGGAGAATTTGTTTTCCTAATCCGTAAATACACAAAACGAAAATAATACTCGATTCTGGGATACAAAATCTAGAAAATGAAAATCTTGGAAATGAATTACATTCAAATCCCATACACTCGCATGACCTTTACTGCAAAAGTTAAAAAGTTTACGTTTTGAAAAGAATAAAACACCCTCCAATATAATCTCACCAAGAGGAATATCGAGAAAACAGAACGTCAAAAAATAGGCAGACACGTGTAAAGAAATCTTTATTGCTTTAAAATCTGCATTTATTTTCATGCCAATTGGCGTCTAAAACTAATTGCTATGCGACAATATGACGTATTTGTTTTTTAAGATTACTAGGCTTGGCTAGAACTCGTTCGCTTTTTTATGATATGCCAGAATCGAGTTTATTCAGACACGATGTGAAAAACCGTCAAGGTTGTGCAATAGATAACAAAAGACAGTTAAAAACAGGCAAATTTATGGAAATGGTTGTCCAGAACTTTCTCAAACTCACTAGGAAGCCCTTGACATGTTGTGTGTTGTCGATGTCGCCGCTTTTAATGACAATTGGTGCCGCTTTAGAAACGATTCCATCTAACCGGATCTTCTTTTGAAGAAAATTTCTGCATCAGCCAGTCGATTAGCCGCTTCGTTCCATTTGCTTTCTTTCGCTCCTTTTCAAGAATCCATATTGCCAAATAAATCAACAATAACAACAAACATAATAAACACGATTAGGATAGCTACAAATCTAAACCATACACTGGGGTGTCGTTCTAAAATCGCATTTACGGTATGTCTAAACCGCAACATCGAGCCGTCGTTCGTTCGATGTTTTGACTAGTTAATCTGTTTGTTATCTAATTTTGTTGTTTTGAATATCAATTTATAAATTTGGAGAAAATTGTTTTGTTTGTATGAGTTTTTTTGGAAAAATACTAGATATTTTGTCGATTTTTAATCCTTTTCCATTCTCTCTAATAGTACGGCAGTCTAGGAGGGGGTTGAAAATAATAGTACGGCGCCGTACTATTAGAGAGAATACGGTATTTCAGAAAACTAGCGTAGTGAAACCGTTAATTTATACCCGAATAGCCCAATGGTACTCTTGGCTGAGCCTTCTGATTCCTTAAGAGGAACATACACTAATCAAGTATCTACAAGTACAGTCAACTCTCGATTCAACGACTTGGTTGCAAAAATTTGTTTAAGATTATAAGATCAATACTTTATTTATGTAAGCATGAAAAAGTGACAACGGAATATGTTTAATTCACAAAATGATACACAGTAAACTTATTGAAAGAAGAGAAAAATTGTAGAGATCGAAGAATAAATTAATTCTATTCAAATTCAAATTCAAACTAGCATCTAGCAAAATTCAAATGCAAATCTAAATTTTAATTCGAAAAAAAAAAAAAAAAAAAAAATTTTAAAAAAAAAAAAAAAAAAAAAAAAAAAAAAATAAAAAAAAATTTTTTTTTTTTTTTTTTTTTTTTTTTTTTTTTAAAAAGGGTTTTTTTTTTTTTTTTTAAAATTTAATTTTAAAAATTAAAATTTTTTTTTTTTTTTTTAAAAAAAATAATTATAAAAAAAAAAAAAAATAAAAAAAAAAAAAAAAAAAAAAAAAAAAAAAAAAAATAAAAAAAAAATTTAAAAAAAAAAAAAAAAAAAAAAAAAAAAAAAAAAAGTTAAACAGCCAAAGTTAAGGTAAACAAGCATTAATTTTCTACAAATTTTTTTCAAAACCTTAAACTGTAAAGTGATGCTTGTTCTCCACGTTGTTCTGAAACTATAGCCTACTAGAGCTGTTCATTTGCCGGTCTGATTGTCAATTGGTGTACAACGGAAAAACGAGATTTGACCACTTCAGCGGCTACTTTTGCAGGGGTTTTTTAGAAAATGGAGCTTCGAAAATTCCACCTTCGTGTAACAAGAAATGCTGCAAAAGTTGGCATTGAAGTGATCAAATCACGTTTCTCCGTTGCACACCTATTGACAATCAGACCGAAAAATGAACAGCTCTATAACGCACGATCAAGTTAGTTTTGAGTAAATTTCCAATTAAATCCGGAAAAGACCATAATTATGACTCTTAATACCGTAATCTTGACCATAACACCTTAATCTGTACTTTTATGTTTGATCTGCTCATCGATGATTCGTTTAAACACATCAAAAGATTTAAATATTACATAGATCAGATAAAACTAGAGTCAAGATTATGGTAGCTTTTGAAAATTGATATGAATTAGAAGTCAGAAAAAACACAAGCCTTACTTCAATCGTTTCACAAAGAAATACACGAATTTCGCTTCCCTCTCCAAGCCCATGCAAAATCTCAAATCATCCACGAAATCACTCTTCCGAAAGCACTGAACTGAAATCAGGTTCGTAATTTTCTCATGCGTTCTTTCTCTCATTTCCAGCTCCATTTTTCTGCAAATCTCCATATCTTCCTCATGTTTCAATAAAGGATCGGAAGTAAACGATCTAATTGCGACATCAATTTGCGGAAAAAATGGAACAGAAATGAGAATCGAGCAATTTTCGTTTTCACTGGGCAATCCGTTTCTAACGATCCACATCGGGAAACACTCTGGAAGTCCGTCATGCGACACACTTTCAACTATCTCAACTCGAGTCTTCAATAAAGCGTTCAACAAATTTTCCCATAAACCATGAATTGAAATTTTTCTACAAAATCTCAGTCCAATTTCAATAAAATTCGTGAAATTGTCAGCGGTTTGCAGCTCTTTCCACTCATCCAACTCAACCGGTTGGAAATTTGCCGATCCCGTGACTTTGAAACGAAATTCTTTACAGAATATGTTCAAATATCTCGCCTTAACCCCCTTGATATGAAAATTTTGCACAAAATTCAGTTTTCTCAGCAAAACTCTGAGCAATTCGTCGAGATTTCCGTAATCTTCCGTCAAATAGGGGCGATGGGATAGGAGGGACAAATATTGGAAAGTTGTAACTTTTTGTAGAAGTGAGATAGAGAAAGAGTCTTGTTGTAAGATGTCGAATGTATGAGAAGATCCATTTTTCGTCACAGTAGCGGTGTTCGATTTCAAATTCAATGGTCGTTTCCGCCATTGGTACTCCCCAAAAGAGATAATTACTTCATCAACCCGTTTTCCGAATAAACCGTTAAATAAAATTTTGTAGCGAAGAAAATGATTGGTTTTTAAGAGTTCAAAATTCTCTTCTGGACCCGATTTCTTCAATATTAATTCTTTCAACACATTGGGAATCGTTGAAAAGGAAATCGCTACCAAATTTGGCATTACTGAATAGCTTTTACAAATAATATATTTAGATATTCAAGAAATGTTAGCCAATTTTACCTTACGCGGGCAAGTGAAAAGTGGCGGGAAACCAATTTTCGTTCTGGGACCGAGAAATCTCTCGTTGAAGCGACGCAGACGACGCGAATGTGTCCACATTGTGTCTCGTAGGAAAAACGGTATCTGGCACATCGCCCTTTAACATAGGGCGACCGAGAATTTCCATTTTGGTTGAATTACCCAAGTTTGAGATTAGCATTAACCCCAAGACCTTTCAAAAAGTGTCTTGAGAAACGTTTGAAACCCAGTCTATAAAGGGAATGCACAAAAATGTGGGAATAGAAAGTGAAAGCTTCTCTGTTGTGAAAGCGTGCGACACTTGGGATTCTCAAGCTGTCTTCAATCCAAGTACTAACCGATTTACTGTACCACAACCCATTGTTTTCCTCGTAGTGCCATTTTTCATGGCATCTTTAAAAAAAATTTGATTTTTGCATATCTCTATTTCCCTCCTTGAATTTTGTTAAATCGGAATGCCTGATTTGAATGAATCGATAAGTCCATGGCAGAAATCAGGACCCGAATCTTTTGAAAGAAGAGATCACATTTGAGACAGTATGTGAAGAGGCGACGATTACCTTCATAGGACGGGGCTTAAACTTGTTGAAGACACCTGTGCGATATGAATGTAGTATGATACCATCAATTCCGTAGCAGGCAAAAATATTTTCTAACATCAACCGGTCGTAATTTCTCCTTAACATAGGTGAAAAGGGAAGAGAAGGGATGACCTCGGGTAGACCATCAATAACGATGTGGTATTCGGAGCTAAGTGATTTCGCAAACTCAACAGAGGAGACGAATGACGGCACAATTATTGTTGGTGGAGAAAGAGGATGAGACGGATGGTTCAGTGAGCGCAAGTTGGACCGATGAGATGGTTCATCTCGTTTATTTGGTCCCACTTCGGTCCACTTGCTCCCGCCATGACGACCATTTAGGGCTGGCGGCGTTGGATGAGACATCGCATTGCGGTTGATCATTTTGCGGTGACACACCTCAAACCTGGGTAATTAAAAAAAAGGATTTGACACATTCTGCGCCACAACTTTGACGATCGATTTCTACTACTTCCTAACATCCAATTGAGCTCGTTTTTTTAAATGAAGCGTAGAGTCTCAGCTACATTTAAAAAAAAACATAAATATCCAATTAACTCAAAAATTTTTGGTGTGAGGCACAATAGCGTGACTTACCTCTTCTGTATTCAATCTTTGATGACACTTTTGGCAACAATTTTTGTTCGTTTCAATGTGTTTAAAACAATTTGTCACAGCAAATTTCATTTACGAGCTGTTTATCGGTTTTTTTTGTGAAAATTGACTGAAATGTTTTTGATTCATTTTGCCAATATGTTCAGTTGTGCTTTTTTGATCATTTCATATAACTTTTATTATTCTTAGATCAGAAACATGGAATATTGAGTAAGACAATGGAAACTAAAGCATCACAGAAACTGAGCTTAAACAAGGAAAAAATTGATTGGATTTATCAAGTATAGA